CATCAGATATTGATCTGTTGTTATAATGAGGGGTAGAGTACACCCCTTCCCACCAAAGGGGCTTAGGAAGAAGAGGTAGGAGTCCTGAGCCCATAGGAGTCGCTAAGGTGGTCGCAGCAGAGATCTTCCCGACGCTGTCTTTTAGGGGTATCGCAACCTTCACGACGTGATGTAGGCAAGAAGACCGTCCGAGACCATTGGGCAATTGGCGCTCTTGAAGGACATTTACCTTCCAAGAGATTAATATTAACTAGGGAGCCAACGGGCTCTTGTTTGTCCAAATATGTAGATCCTCCTGAATAGCTGCTTTGAAGCAAATATCTATGATGGCCAATTTCCTTCAAAGCCACAGTTAGCTGTTGACCTTTGTCGGAAGAATAGGAAGAAGCACTCTGATAATGAGGGCTAAGGGGAGCGTGGGGGGGAGGGATCGACTTTATGACAGAGGATCTCGCCTCTGGTATTCTCGCGCTACCTAGGACTCGATTCCCACTCTACCACGCTAATGAAGATTCGCGATCCGCAGCCTACGTGGAACATTATATACCTACCTAAGCAAGAACTAAATCTCAAGGTCTGTTCAACCTCTAGGCAGAAAAGTGATACGCCGATGCAGTCTACGTCGCGGGCGCCAGTCAGAGAGGTCATACTCAAGGTCTCCTGCTGTTATAATGGATCCAGGGAAGCCGCAGTCGAAGTCTGGGTGAGGGAGCGTTCTCCCCTATAACGTTCAAGGAAGCCGCAGCAAAAGTCGGATAAGGAGCGTTCTTCCGTGAGGAGGCAGGGGGAACGGCAGAGGCTCTTAGGCGAGGTTTCTCTCTCTTTTTGAGGAGGGCAACCCACTCAATTCTCTCTCTCTCTCTCTCGTACTCAAGGCAACCCATCTTCTTTTATTTTATTTAGATCACACCCTGATGTCTTCACCTTTCTTATTCTTTATCTTTTTCAAGATACGCACTTTATCATGTTTTTTTTGATTTCCACACACTACACAATCTTCTCTTTCACTTTCTAAAAAAAAAAAAAAATAAAAAAAAAAAGAGTCAGTATTATAGTATGATATCTTTTATTGGGCAGACCTATGCACATGGGCACTTTCTCTCTCCCTCTCGACAGACCTATGCACATGGGCACACACTCCACACACAACTCAGATACACCCTTATCTCTGTTGATCCACCTTTTCCCCATTTTATTTCTTTTCTTTTATTTTATTTTATTTCTTTATTTTATTTTATTTATTTATTTATTTATTTATTCCTTCAAAAATAAAAAAATAACATACAAACAAAACCTTTTATTCATGTCGGGCTCCCCGATCACCATTTTACACCAAAAAAAAAAAAAAAAACAAAAAACAAAAAAAAACAAACCCACAAAACAAAAAAACAAACCAACACCACTCGGAACAGTGGATTTTTCTTCTCTATTCTGCCGCCGCGTCTCTTTCTTTTTGCCTCCGCTGTTGCAGTCCTTGACGGTGTTGCCTCCATGTTTCCCATGCCACCGAGCACATTCAATCCCCCCTGCTCCTCCACTGCCGCATATGGAGGACCTCCAAATCGGAACATCACGGTGGCCTTCCGCTTCAGCTCCTTGTTTTCTGTCTTTAGCACACTTATCTCTGCTCGCGCATTCCTTATACAGCGTTGGAGCAGAGCCAGTTGGGCGTTAACTGTTGCACCTCATTTGCCCAACTCTGCAGCCGGTTCGACAAGTTTGTAACCGCAGTCATGGTTTCCACACATGACTTTAATGTATACTGATTGCTTCCACATCCGACTGCACTGCCATTCTTTGCTCCACAGACCGCATCGGAAAGTTCAGCGGAGTAAACTCCGGGGCACTCGGTTGAGGTTCCAGTGCCACCGCTCCAGTTCTCTCTCTTGTTGACTCGTTTGAGGTCGGGAAAGAGGGTGAGCAGTCCACGGGAAGACGAGGCCATTTTCTGGGCAACAAAGTGTTACAGACTATCTCTCTCAGCAAAGGAACTCTCTTTCTCAGCAACACGAAGGATTTTTCAGAGGTTTCTCTCAGTTTTTTCTCTGCCTCAGCCTCTGCCTTCGTCTTGGTTATATAGCCAAGGCAGCCACGCGTATCATGCGCCGCTCGGCGCTAGACGACAACCTGGGCGCGCAAGCCAAGTCACGCGCCTCGCCATCATGTCCGGTACAACCTTTTGATAAAATGGGCACGCCTTTTGAATGGCACACCTTTTGAGGGTGCGACTTTTTAAGGGTCCAACAAGACTCTGTAAACTGTCCCGCCATTGATTCCGGTTAGCTCCTTTATGGGTCCGACAAGACTCTGTAAACTGTCCCGACATTGATTCCGGTTAGTTTCTACAAGGGTCCAGCAAGACTCCGTAAACTGTCACAACAAACTGTCACAACGTGTCTGCTACAAACGGTCCGACATGACCCATAAAACTGTCTTCTACATCGGTCTGACACCGCCATCCAGTGTCCTCTACACCGTTATGACCCACCATACAGTGTCCTCTACATGGTTATGACACCCCATACAGTGTCCTCTACAACGTTATGACACCACCATTCAGTGTCTTCCCCAATGGTCTGACACGACCATACAGTGTCTCCTATCCTTTTTTATTTTATGTATTTTCTTTTTTGTTCCTCTTCAAACTCAAGTTGGTTAGTTTCTATCCTCCTTGAGTTTGCGGGGGGCTGTTAGAATTTACCATCACCTACCACCAATTTACCATCACCTACCACCACCTACTCCTCACCTACTTCTCACCTACTACACTCACCCTCTCCTATATAATGAGCCACTCACCATTTGTAATAGATATCAATCAATACAACAATATATATCAATCAATTAATACAATTCTCTATTTCTCTTATACATTAAATTTTCTACAAAGCATAAAAAGGCTACAAGTGAATTCTCAATTGTTCAAGAAGAGGCAAGATCTCAAATTGAAGATTTGGATACCAATACAAGCAGTCTAGGCTGAAAAATTAAAGCAAGAAAATACTGATTCAGAGCAAAATATGCCTTTACAGGGCACTAATTTGTTACCAAAATTTTCTGATGTGGTGCCAACAAACTCATCTAATGAGTCTCTCTACCCATGACAAGCGTCTGCATATACCAAAGTCACAAGAGGACTGCAAAATTGAATTGCAATGATGACATTTCGGTTGAGGTAAAGGTTGAGAAATATTGAATCCCTGGTTATTGATGCAAGCAATAGCATTCAAATTTGTTGTAAAGCAACATATTGCAAAGCCAAAAAGAGAATGACATGGATAACGGGGCAATTCGACACTTAGATCAATTCAAGGGTTCACCTTCTACTTCAGTTGATTTTGTTACTCAAAAAATTTAACTTTACAGTTGAAAATATCATATTGCTTCCATTGCTACCTCCAATGAAACGATTGCCAACTTGAAGATTTTAATGTGAAGGCCATGGATGCAATTTCAAAACTTGTGGATTCTTATACTTCAACACTTCAAAACTCGAGGTTTTTTTCTAACCAAAGGAGAATGACGTAGAGTATAAAAAGCCCAAAGATGGCTAAATTTAAAGAAGCAATGACATTTGGACATTTGGCATGATTTTCATAGAAAAACTGACCAAAATCTTCTATTATTATGTTTCTAGTACTATTAAAGTCTTATTTTATAATTATATCTATGTTTTTTAGGATTTTAAGCTTAGGGGTATTTTGGTAATTTGCAGAATTTCTGTTTTTTTTTTTTCTTTTTTTTATGTTTTAGAAAGTGAAAGAGAAGTGTGTGGGTAGTGGTGGAATCTAAAAAAAACATGATAAGTGCGTATCTGAAAAAGATAAAGAAAAGAAAGGTGAAGACATCAAGGGTGTGATTAAAAAAATAAAAGAAGAATGGGTTTGCCTTGAGTAGAGAGAGAGAGAGAGAGATTGAGTGGGTGCCCTCCTCAAAGAGAGAGAGAAACCCTGCTAGAGAGCCTCTGCCGTTCCCCCCTGCTCCTCACAGGAGAACGCTCCCTTATCGGACTTTGACTGCGGCTCCTTGAACCGTTATAGGGTGGAGAACGCTCCCTCACCAGACTTCGACTGCGGCTCCTGGATCCATTATAAACAGCAGGAGACCTTGAGTATGACCTCTCTCGACTGCGCCGCGAGTATGACCTGTCTCGGCTATACCTTTTCTCCTGAGGTGAAACAGACCTGCCCTGTATACAGGGGGGCACACTACCACTAACTAAGCCAAAGAGAACAGATTTATACATTTCATGACAAATAAAAATAAGACAATATGTTAAGCATGATGAATGTGTGTGTGGGAGACATAAAGTCGATCCCTCCCCCCACCACGCTCCCTAGCCCTCATATCAGATGGCTTCTTCCTATTCTCTTCCGCAAAGACAACAGTCAACTGGCGCCCTTGAAGAATTTGGCCATCCATATGATATTTAGCTTCGGCAGCATCAGCAGGATCTACATATTGGACAAAACCAAAGCCTCTTGGCTCCCCAGTATAATAATCTCTTGGAAGGTAAATGTCCTTAAGAGCGCCAAATTGCCCAAATGGTCTCCGGAGGTCTTCTTGCCTACAATCACGTCGAAGGTTGCGAACTAAAAGACTAGTCGGAAGATCTCTGCTGCGACCACCATAGCGACCCCTTGGGCTAGGACTCCTCCCTCTTCTTCCATAGCCCCTTGGTGGCGAAGGGGTGTAACTCCTTCCCCTCATTTATACAAACAGATCAAATATCTGATGAGAACAGTGAGAAAGTTGGATCGCCGATTTCTTTCTCTCAGTAACAACGATTGCTTCTGCTGTAGACGGCGCTGTGATGGCGGAGGCGACGGCGTAGCGCTTCTGGTTTTGAATGGACAGAACAGAGAGGTAAGAGAGAGGTAAGAGAAGTTACAGTCTGGGTATGTGTAGAGGTCCGGCGGATTAGGTTGAAGTCCGGCGGGCGGCCAAGGCGAGGTTGCCGCCCGCCGGCGAAGCGAAAAATACTAAGTGCTTAACCTTGCTCTGATACCATGTAGAAAATTTAATGTATAAAGAGAAATAGAGAATTGTATTTTTAATTTTTCAGCCTAGACTGCTTGTATGGTATCCAAATCTTCAATTTGAGATCTTGCCTCTTCTTGAACAATTTGAGAATTCACTTGTAGCACTTTTATCTCAGGAATGGGAGCCTTTTTATGCTTTATAATATGGTTTTCTTTTGTTTTGGGCAAAATCTGATTGTTTTCTTTCACATTTGACTTCAGTTGCGCATCTTTGACAACAATATTTGGTTTTGGTACTACTTGTGATGCGTGTCTCACACAATTTTGTGGTTGTTGCAGCAATCCTACCTTTGTAGTAGGCTTCAAAACTATAGATTTCTCCGTAAATTTTACAAAATACTCAAATTGCATAGATGTTTTAATAGTATTTTCAAGATCTTCCAAATATTCATGAGACATCTCTTCTTTAATTCCAGATCTCAACCTACTCTAGATTTGATAAATAATTCCTTGTATTTTCTTACATAATCAATCACACGCATATCACTTTGGTCAAGCGTATGCAATTGATCAAGAAAATCATCTTGAAGATCCCTTAGACGAATTTTCTCTCTAAGATGCACTTTACCCTCTTCCCAAGCCAATCTACTTGTATAGGATCTCCTATAATGTGAAAACATCATGGTGGAACCTTACGTTCTAATACCAAACTGATGTAAAACAAGTAGGGATAGTGTGGGATTTTGAGAATAAAAGTTATTTGATGGCCTAAACAGCGAGTAATTTAGGATTTCAAGGGTTAAATTGAAAACTAATAGGTGAGGGAAGCGATTAGGGTTGATTTGGAGTGATTGGATAGAGTTTTGAGGTTGAAAAGTGCACTTTTAGAGGGCTATGAATAGTAATCCGAGAATAGTAAATTGAAACAAAAAAGAAGAAGAAAGAAGAGAAGAAGATAGGTCTAGGCATCTCATCTAGATTCCCTAGGCATAACACCTAGGGTTAGGGTGTTAGAATGTGTTAGGATATTTCTTATTTTATTCTCATTCAGTCTTTATTTGCTGTAATGGGCCTTTATTTAGGCCTTAACTTATGTTTATGATTTAATATAAAAGGGTATGATAAACCACTCATACCCTAACTTTTCCTCTTCTAAAATTAACATAGGGTCGCATCACACAAACCCAAAAGAGGTTTCAAAACTCTCAAAAAAAAACTCCTAGCCGTACCACCCCAGGCAAAGCCACAGCACCACCAGCTCAGCCCGCAAGCCCCAGGCGAAGGCACCTAGGGTTCCGACAGCCCCAGTCGGAGTCACGACTCCATTCGAAGGCATAGGCGCAACCCCTAGGGCTCGTCGGCTGTCTTGGAGCCCTGTGGTCTGTCTTCGTCTTCGTCGACATCTCTCTCTCGGTCTCTACACGTAACTCTTTTGTCTTCATCTCTTTCTGTGTCTTCGTAATATGTAAGTCTCTCCGAGTCTGTATTCTCCCCTTCGTAATATGTAAGTCTGTATTCTCCTTTTCTTAATCTCTCTCTGACGGTCTTCTAAAAAAAAATAAAAATAAAAAATACATAAATAAATAAAGGAAAAAAAATAATATTCTCTTAAATTTATTTTAAATTCATTATTATATTCTCCCATCTTTCGGGTTTGTGATTCACTCTAGGTGTGTTTGTGAGGGTTCCGTCACGACGTCTTTACGGCCGAATTGACTAGTGAGTCTACTACTTCGCAACCTGCTACACAGGGCGCGAGTCTTGTTTTGACTACTTCGATGACCGATTCTCTCTACCCTGGCTAGAAAATCACCACCTCTCTCTTTAATGGTCTGAACTATCTTGCATGGTTGCAGAGTTTGACTATATTTTTAAAGAGCAAAGGGAAGATGGGATATGTTGATGGGCGTGTTCAGGCTCCCAGCAGCTATGAAGCACGGACACTGACACGGACACGGATACGGACACGGATACGGACACGGGACACGGCAATTTCCAAAAAATGGGGACACGGACACGGTAGGGGACACGGCGATTTTTTTTTTATTTTTTTTTTATA